GCCTGATTGGAGTTCATGGGAAATGTCACAAACTTCAAAACCTACCTCTGAAAATGCGCTGGAAGCAGTCGAAGTCCTTCAAGAGGGGCGGATCACCGATCCGTGGTGGGGCCGCCTCCAAGCAGCTGTGCAGAGCGCTTGCTCGACTAGCGGTCGTTGCGGGACCGCCGCGCTGTATGAGGTCGATTCCATAAGAACGCAATTGAAGCGCTTCAATTTCGATTGCTGGCAAATAGTTATGTATTTGCAAGCATGCATGGCTATTTGCCAGCAGTTGCAATTGGAGCGCATGTACTACGGGCAGGTTCGGACAACTCGTCCAACACACGTCTCCCTAAACGGCAGGGGGAGTCCCTGTCTAAGCCCCTGTTGGACGTTTTTTTCACTTTTTCTTTTTACGTTCGACCACTTTTCACCTACAACTTCCATATAGGTGCTTTTGGCCCGCAAATTCGTTCCTGGACTGTTGCTTTAAGTGCAGTACATAGTACGTGTTGAAGCTTTTTCAAAAAGAGGGAATAAACCGGCAGTTCTTTTCACAAACATTGAAAATACTATTCTGGTTAGGGTTTCAGTCCGCGTTTTTCTTCAAGGCATGCTCAATTTTGCAGAATTTGGGTGCATTTCATTCATCCATCCAGAAACGGACCTTAGTTGGAGCTGTAGACCCTTGCAACTATTATAATATGGACTTTTTTTTTACAAACACTCGAAAAAACACGAAAAAAGTTCTGTGTGCGTTGCAGATGCCTGATTGACGCAGCCTGGAGAAATCTGCCGAGTTCTCAAAACGAGTTTGTCCGGTAGTTTCTCTTGTCATTGTACCTTCTGAATTACGCGCTTCACCCTGAGCTTCTAAATAGGACTCCTTGAAAACTATCCCTACTGCAGAGTGTGTGGTGTGTGTGTGTGTGCGTGCGTGTGTCACGAAATTCATAGCACGCGTCGCAGCAGTCGTTAGGAGCTGATTTTGGATATGATATAGGGGGTGGGACGGGAACATATTTGGTGGGGGTCAGAAAGTGATAACGACTGATAAGAGCTGATAAGAGGCGCTAAACAAATTTCACGAAATTCATAGCGCTCGGCACAGCAGCATTGAGGTGTCGGTATCAAAAATGTTGAGGGTAGGACGGATTTGTGGCTGGTGTCGGCATCTGATGGCTGCTGATAAAAACTGATAAGGGACGTGAAAAAGAAACGATCATGGTGTTCATAGCGTGCGTCCGAGCAGCAGTGCGGTTCCGGTTTCAACACATAATGTAGGAGGTAGGACGAGAACAAATTTGAGAGGCTGACAGAAAGTGATAACAGTTGATAAGGAGCGCTAGAAGGTAAGGCTCGAGAAGTTCATAGGCTCAGAAGCAGAAAGGTGCTGTCTTTTGTAGGGTTTTATTCGGCGGGTGACAAAAAGTAACAACAACTGATAAGA